ATGGAAATAGCCTGAACTGAGCCTTGTTGCAGTAACTACAAATTTGAATTCACAAACACGTGAGAGGAAATATGCTGACTAAACTATGAACACATACATTTGGGTTCAGCACTAGTTTGTGTGACCTTGGTCCACTTCTATAAAAATACTCTAATTACAAAATAAACATTACTTTGAATTTTAATCTCTTAAGCAGCAATTCTAGAAGTCAGAAAACCAGCTGACTTTTCTGTTACGGCAGCTGAACTGCAACTCAAGAATGACCAGAACAGAACAGCCTCTTCATAGCTCCATCATCCTGACATTTCTGACCAGAATACATCTTCCATCCTAGACATGTCTAAGCTTTTCCACCCTGGATAGTATTTTTTAACTCACCACAGTGGAACTGCAAGCTCGCTTTGGCAGGTTGCTACTTTTCCATTACAAGCAGTTCCTCTCAACTTCCCCCAAAAAAGACCTTACTTGTCTTATAGCCAGCGTACCAAAGCAGGGGACCAACAAAAGGGTCAATGCTTGTTCTTATTTGTTCTACAAGCAGCAGTGGTGGGTCACCTACTCTCCAGCTCCAGCTCAGGCTAACATCGGTCTGTGCTAGATGAGACAGAGATTCTTCCTGCACCTCCTGGATATCTGCTATGAGATTAGAAGGTAACAATGGCACGCTCCTGATCCGCACACATTAAATAAGTAATGCTCTTATTGTTGCCCTCTGACAGAACCAGAGTCAGATCAAATGTACCCTGGTGTCTTTGGTGTCACCGCTACAGGAATCCTGTCATAGTCAGACATGCATGCACTGCCTTGTCACTTGAATTTCTCAGACAGCAGGTTTAGCAGTAACCCATTCAAGATTTCATTTGTTTGTTTTCTATCCCCATGGAAGTGGTAAGAGACTGGGATATAAAAGAACAGACAAAGGCATCTAAATAAGGAGGAGCTCAGTTGTTAATGGTTCAAAGATGTTACGACTGATATCCCTGTTGATTTTTTAGCTGTAAAATATCTCAGTGAAATTAGAGAAATCCTTATCAAAACCTGACCTGAATGAACAGATGCCATCTCCAACAGATGACAATCCACAATTAAATGCAATTTCTGTCAGTGTTATTATAACAATAATTATATCAGCTATCATTTACAGTATATTAACTAAATCACCCAAGAATGGTGACTCATGTTACAGTGAGGTACTGTATACAGATGTCATATTCAGTATCATGCTTGTCTGTTGACTGCTGATGTTTGTTTTCAATAAAAAAAAAAAAATTGTCTGATTTATCAAATTTTCAAACTCAAATATGTGCAACGATACAGGCCTAATACATCCATCTATTATCTATACTGCTCATTCCTAAACAGGGTCACAGGGGGGCTGGTGCCAGCCCCAGCTGACACTGGGCGAGAGGCGTGGTCCACCCTGGACAGGCCACTAGTCTATCATGGGGCTGACACATAGACACACACTCCTACAGGCAATTTAGAGTCGCCAGTCAAACTAAGCTGCATGTCTTTTGACTGGGGAAGCGGGAGCATCCGGAGAACCCCCCCGCTCGAACCTGGAACCTTCCTGCTGTGAGGGAACAGTGCTAACCACTGCGCTGCTGTGCCGCCCGGCCTAAAACATGTTTAAGTAAAAATATTGTATGTTCAATGGTATACACATACTGTGTGTTTTCTTTACCCACCAGTAAGAAAAAAGGTAATCCAGGAAAGAACAACCGCGCACACACACAGAACAAAAAGAAAGATTACATAAAGGTCGAGGTTATATGTACAGTATGTATGGACAAATCAACACTGAGTTACAGAAGTGTTAGAAAAGAGGAGTACATTTCTTTGCAGACTAAAAAGACAATGATTTGCACCATCACTATGGATTTCTATGGAACAATACAAGCAAGACAGAAGATCTTCTTCTACATAGTTGTCATCTTTGTGCTGGGTTTTGCGTTC